TTTTTAAAGACCTCTGTGGTGAAAATCTATTTTTTTTCTGTCTGGTGTTTTTAATATGTTTAAAGGCAAACCATTGTGCAATTTCATCAGTCAACACCATTGCTGACTATTTTCTCCTTAAACCTGCAGTGAACCAAAGACAGTCTCAGAAATGTGGTTTGAAAACACCCACTTCCTACCATCACAAACATGTAAACAATCCTGTCAACTTGCTTTTAATATCATTAGCAGTGTGTTTCTACCTAAGGATACTGATTTGTAGAAGGTAGATGTCTGAGATGATGAATGGGATCATGGTTTGTGTAATATTAGCACATTATTAGCTGTTTGATAATGTAGTCAAGCCAAAGGCTAATGTCAATTACCATTACATGTCTGATGTTGTAGAGAGCGATACATAAAATGCATTACCATTCTGATACATTGAATTGTAGACGACCTTGTTTCGCTCTTCCTCTTCTTTGGAATCGGTTTCTGGTTCAAACATATATAGCTGCATTAATCCAATATTGCCACTTGCCACTGTGTAGCGTTCACTACTTCAGTTAACTGAGTGAGTGAAAGTGGAGCTGGTGTGAATGGATGGAGGCGGGGACTAATTTGTATATTCATTTATTGTGTCGACTAAATGAAGATAAGGTTGTAGAGTTACATTCAAGCCATTTAAGAGTAAGACAGAGAAATTATTTCCATTTCCAAAAACGTTTAAATATGTCATTTTGATTATCAAGGATGAGTTTTAAGGGATACAATTATTGACTAATTTTTAAATAGAAAACAGCTATTTTAAATTAATATTTCACAATATTACTGTTTTTGCTGTATTTTGGATTAAATAAATGCAGCCTTGCCCTTGGTGAGCAGAAGAGACAGAACAACTCCACACACAAAACCGTTTCTGCCAAGCATCATTTGAATAATCCAGCTGAGCAGTGATGGTTTCAGCATTAAAGTAAACATTCCTGTTGCCAGCAGACTCATTGGCCCTGTGAAGTGTGTTCGGCCTGAACCACCCCCCCCGCCCCCCCTGCAGAAAATGTGCGGAATGTTCCCCTTTCCTGTGGGACGGGGTCTGTCTGAATGGGGAGGGTTTGTCTGTCTGTCTGTTGAGGTAAAAAGCCAAAAACTGTCTGGATTGGGACAGGAAGTCCTCACCATGGGCTGGAAAAGAGCAGCGAGTGTCTGAACTGCACATTTTGCAAAGTGCTGACACTTTCTTAATGTGTTTACTGCGTGTGTTCATTGGATTCAATAAACCTTTCCGTCATGTGCTTTGAGTTTAGCCCCTGATTTATTTTCAAACTTATAAACATGTATCAGATTCAGTTATAACATTGTTAGGTATTTCTCTGAGGTTTTTGCTGAAGGTTTAAGTGAGAATAGTGAGCAGTTAAGTTTGTGACAGTGAGTGTGTTTACATCTGCAGTCTTCTGTGATTATGCTTAAGCCGAAATCATGTAAGTTCATGGAATAGCCTTGTGTCCTTTTATTGGGAAAAGGTAATAAACAAAAAATCCAGTCAACACCTCATTACGAGGGTGTAGTAAATCAGCTCAAAAGGGAAATATTTATGACCAATTATAACTGGTTATGATTAATAATAAATATTTAGATTAGATCTTAGAATTAACTGTAGCAGAATCAATATTACCATTATTTGATCTGTCCGTCCACCGAGGAGACAATATAATCATTTATCAATTCAAGGAAAGATTATTTTCCTGGCCAAGAAAGAATAACTTTCCTTCATACAGTACTAGCATTAACTTAGCATGTAGCAAGGGATCAAACATTCAG